CTCTCTCTCTCTCTCCTCTCTCTCTCTCTCTCTCTCTCTCTCTCTCTCTCTCTCTCTCTCTCTCGCCTACTTTTCTTTCTCCTAGCAGAGTCAAAAATGCGTAGCGCGCAAAAAGCTAGGTGGGTACACACGAGCATATCCGGCCAACGAATGATAGAACGCATGAGAATAAAATCGGGCATCGATTATTTTTGCATGGAAAAAACCTTTTTTGCGTCGTCGTAGAACGTATTTTAAACGTAAAAAAATGTCCGCATTTTTGCGCAACAGTGCCTCAACAATGTTCGTTAATCCTCAACTAATGCTGGTGAAAACGGTATTACATGCTCGATCTGATAGGACAGATTTTCAGTTAAGAATTAACGTCCGGACAATATAATAGCTTTCATTTCCGAGTGATCGCGTTTCTCATGCGATCCAGCAGACAAATTGTTGGCCATGCGAAGCAGCGTTCTGTTTTTAAGCGGCAGCATATATAAATCACCCGTCGAATTTGATGTCGCTACACAAGATGAAACAACTTTTGTTCAAGCCTCCTCACGAAGGCAAATCACGAGGGATTTGCCGACGCCGAACAATGCTTCAACACAATGCGTCAACAAATTCGTGCGGGTGAATTTCTTACTTGATTACAAATAATTCGTTTGCTTTGCGATAGCTTGCTGCAGCAGCTAAAACCCTTGACTCAAGTTGGGAAGCTCAAACTCCAGTGGATTCGTCACGTTTTCATCGTGTTTTCATTGTCTTCTGTTTTTATCTTTTTTTTTTAGTTTTCACTTTTTAGAATGACTCTCGTAGTATTTATGTCCATAAGTCGGAGTAGCGCTTCGTTCCTTCCATCGTTTCTGTCCATTTTGTTCTCTTTTAGTTCGCATAATTATCATTAATTATAATACTCGTTTACATCGTGTATTTACTAGAGATTTTGGTATTAAAGGGAAAGACGGGTAGTACTGTCCGATGTCGATTTCGCGCTCTTAGATACGTTGTCTGTATGTAATCGTTTTGTTTACCTAAAACTAATTCATCATTTAGCGATTAAAGAGGAAAATTCGTTCGAAAATAAGCCGAAGGCATCCCGGTCGTTTCTCTCGTTCTCGAGCGCGTCGGGATTAGGGCATACCTGAGCTTTAACGAACCGTACCATCGCGAGACAACACGAAAGGAGGAGTTATCGATAACTTCTCGAAGGACTTTGCTCGTTTAGGCTGGCAGCGAGTGGGACGAATCTAAATATCGTTCCTTCTCTTGGTGTCTTTCCATAAGAAAATCTAGTAAACGAATTTACTTGCAGTTTATTAATACTGAAGAAGATGAAATAATCTAAAGATAAGGAGCGCACGGATCTCCTCGAGAGTCTCTAAGAGAAAGTATCGAGTACACTCTAAGTGGAATCACAATTAAAAATATTTTACTCTCCTCTTCGTGGTGTCATTGAATTATTTAAATGGACATTTATAGATTATTGTACTTAATTTTATATAATATAACATATGTATCTCTTTTTCTTCCCTATGTGTATCTAATTAAATCTATGTACATATACTAAGTATGGGCGCACGGAGAAACTCTCGTCCGTCTATATCTTTCCTCGTTCATTTCAATGAATTTACACTTATCTATATCCTTTTTGAGTTGCGTTTAGCGCGCGATATCCATCGCGTATTCAATACGATATATTGAAGACAAAGGTAAATAAAACAGATTAACGTACGAATTATGATATTGCGAATATTAGAAACAATGGTGTCAAAGGAAACAAAGAGAGTGTGAGAAAATGATTTTGAATTTATGACTAGAATCACGGTATGGAGAGAAGCAAGTTGAAAAGAAAAAATATGAAAAAAAAATCAACACTGTGATTTAAGCGGATGAACTTGAGCGGTTCATCGCAAAGAAATGTGTAAAAATTATAAAACGGATTATTGTAACACACATATAAAACGTTCTTCCCACTCGTCCATGGATTTGTTTAACGAACGATTTGAAATCGATGACGATCCTAGACTCCTCAGTACTTTTACTCTGTCTACGCTAATCGAATTATTTTTCACGTAATAATACTATTTTATGTACACGAATAATTTACAAAGTTGAATTTCCAGCTATATTCGCGCCTACTGGCAGCCTCGAATCTTTCCCTTCTAATACCAAAAGTGTATAATCTGTTTTTCTTTTTGCTTTGATAAGAGTGTCCTTTGATTCTTAAATGCTGTACAGGAACATTTACTTGCTTAACTCTTTAATCACTCGTTTAATGTTTTTTTATTTAGTACTTTATATCCTATACTTATTTTGTCATTAGAGTACTTTGTTATATATACCTAAATTTTGTTTAAATAATCATACTATTGTGACGAAGTAATCGATTAAACGGTTAATGTAATAACTAAATTAAAAAAAGGATAATATGACATATTTAATAGTAAAAAAATAGTGCGTGAAGGACCCGGACCCATCATCATGACTAGTTCAAAAGTGCATTTTTCATTTAGCAATATATTTTAATATGAAAATTCGATAGATCATATATGATAGTGTCGTTGGTCGGGAAAGTTGGTGTAAGCCTCTCCTGGACGGTAAAATGTCTTTCAAATATCGCCACGTATTTGTGTGTGATAGCGCGTGTAGTGAAATTGGTAGAGTCTTACGCTGATCGCAGACTTGAAAGCTGAACTCGTTAAGAGTGACACTCCGGAGCAAATCTTCTCTCAAGTGAGCAATCGGTTTTCGAGACATTTTCAAGGAAATTAGATCCGCAAGCGTGCCTTATCGTTAATATTTTCGACATATATATGTATACCTTTTAAAAAAATATTGCTCGGAACATTTATTCTGGACGCGAGAATGTGTCGTTTAAATTTTTAAACTATGAAAAGAAATGAGATTCGCGCTGACGCGAATATATATGCGAAGTGCACGCGTAATCGTAGAGCATACTTGAGATTAGCTTCAGAAATGCAATTAAGCGTGCACGAAAGAATTATCATGAAGAATGCATTTAATAACGAAAGACTCGATCGATGGAGGGGGGTCCTTCATGCGATACCACAGGAAACAAATAATTATAGATTAAAGAATATTAACGCAACAATTAAAGTATTTATGAAGAATCGCGTTAATTTACGAAGACTGAAACAACGTACAAACTTATTCCTATCGATCGTGTAAACCTATGCACGCGATCCAACGGATCGATTGTTTCTTTTTTTCGTTTTTTTTTCTCGAAGAGCAGATATAAAACGATTCCTTTCGTCTCTCTCTCTCTCTCTCTTGGCAGCTCTCGTTCGCGCCAAGAATACCTCGCGATATTTCCTCTCATGATCGCGCTCTCTCGTTTATACTCCCAACTCCCCCAAAAGTGTATTTTTAGTTAAATATAATTTCTTATCGTATGCATATAAATTTGTCATATACATTTGTCGTAGTGTAATAATTAAATAGTGTTTACCCGCCTATAGAATGTGCGATTTTCGGCGTTTGCCCATTTCGCGAACTAAATAAGACGGTCGAAAGTCAAATAGTCGGCGTAAACCTCGTTCTAAGGCTTCCTGTTCCTCTCGAGCGAGAGAATCGATCGCTTCGCAACTCTTCTGACATATTCCAACGTTCTATTTCTGACCATTACTTCGCTCCGCTCGCCTAATCGTCGCCAAACAATCCGCCGATAACTATTATGCTTCTCTTCGCGCGAAATCGTTACACCCTCGCATATGCATACATATACATATAATAGGTCTCTTCTCGTATGTATATACACACACGCGTTTATATTATTATCATAAAAACAAAATATAATTGAGATTTGTTATATACGAGTATAAAAAACTTCGTTATGCGTTCGCCGCGTTTTATATCATATCTCGTGTAAATTATTTTCTCTCATCGTCTCGGTGATATTTATCGTCGTTATATTTTGTATTTTGCGTTTTTTTCCTTCTTCAAGATCAGCATCCTTCGGTCATTCGTTTCGTCGCGTTGATTCGCGGCCCCTAGCTAGTCTACTTATGCGATACAGATACGATTTCTCTCACACCGGAATCTGGCATGAATATATAATTATATATATATATATTTATATTTATACGCCTTTATAGAACAATAGTTCGAAACGTATTCTCTCCAAGTTTTCTCACGAGCATATCTTGCGTTGCGCGAACGCACATTGCACGTAACGGCGAATGAAGACACTGAATGCATGCGATAAGCATCGAGGAAAGGAAGAAAATTGTATGCACATCGAGAAACGTAAGTTTCTCGAGCATTGAAATATAATGGAAGTTTATAATGAATATTAATCAATGTCTACTCTAAAGTAGAGCAATTATTTCATTTCATAAAATAAAGATAAACAAGGGCAGTGTATTGTAATTGCACATATAACATTTTGCTACTTCCACTTGTCATCTGTAAAGCAAATTTAATTATATTTGAGATATCGATATAATAAAAGCAGAAGTCAAATATCGAGAATTAAAACTCTCTTCAGTTGTATCTTGTTGCTCTTTGAGAGGAAGCTGTCCGGTTCATCGATCACCGATCACCGAAGACTGGAAAAGGAGTTTTGATGTATGACCCGCGACGATGAGGAAGTCGTAGAAACTTGAACGATGCTGAATCGTGGGTTATTGTTCGCTAACTCTATCGATCGCGAGAAGATCGGGTTCCGACATTTTCGAGTCTGACGTTTGTTCCCCGCGGGGACAAAAACACATCGCCGTTGTTCTGCCGTCAGTACTTTGCATTCGATCCGAGGAGACTTCGCTTCGCGTGACACGAGCGAGTTAACAAAAAGAGGAATTCGTGGAAGGTGAAACACCGTTACACCGGTTTTCCGAATTATTCCGACGAGCATCTCAAAATTCGTCGCACAACGATTCACAGGAAGTCAAATATAAATCGAAAGAAGTAAAAAAACAATGTTAGGGAAGACTTCGCTTACTAGTTTATTGTAATCATAAAAAATATCTGGATGATTCTCGATTGTACCCTCGCCGCACTGTTACGACGATTTACACCGGATCGCTCGACCTTTCCAGCCTCTGTGATCACCTGTCGAATCTTTTCTCGGCTTTTCAGTCTTCTCAATCCACAACAGCCTCTCTCGCAGACAAAAAGGAAAGAAAAACTTAAAGATTTATACATTTTCTTCCTTCCCCCTTTTCGACTTCACGCGACAGAAATCTTTTTGGCGCCCTTCCCTTATTTTCTCCTCCCTTTCTGCCGCGCGTTATTTCACCCTATCACCTGAACGTGTGTTCGCACATTCGTGCGTGTACATTACGAGCGGAGAGGAGTGTCGTGAAGGAATATCGACGTGACATTGAAACTAAATCGAATCGACGACGAGAACGACGACGTTCCTCACTCAATTTCTTCCCACTCGCTTTGTTCGCCGCCGTCGCTGCTGATGCCGCCCCCATGCACGATTCCGACGTGCACGGAGATGCGTGTTCGCGCAAGCTTATCGAATCTTCTTCCTTGCCTCTCCACGCGGTCCCGGCGCGTTAACCGCTGGCAAAAGCGACCCTAAGGCGAGGCAGACGATGCGATCGCCATCAGAGGTGCCGGCGGCAATGCGACCGGTATGTGGTAATATTTACACTGGGGTCGCATGCACGCACCCTTCACTGCGTCCCTGCACACCGTTACACGATTCTCGATCACCTCCACATTTCCTGAAAAGTTATAGAAAAATTGAAATCAATGCATTATACGTGCCAAGTTCTCTCTCTCTCTTTCAATCATAGAGACTATAGTGTTAAATAATATTCGAGAATATCGAGATCGATGATTTTGCAAACCAGTGAAGAGATAAAAATTAAACTTGCAAATAAGCTTACTTACAATAAGTAATATAAAAATAATTATTTCAACAGAATTATAATTTAAAAGATAATTACATAGGTATAAATAAATTTCTATGTGAATGTACTGAACTCACGCATAATGTCCCATCTTGATTGAAAATTATTCGCCATATATAATTACTTAATATGCAGCAAAGAGTTGAAAAAAGCTTAACGCTGATTGCAGCATTCATAAAAGCAATATACATAAATATATTCAATCGTCCAACAGTGTCAAAGGAAATCATTCAAATTTATGGCAAATACGCGTTATTCATGTATATATTGACGGCAAGTAATTGTATCGCGTAAAAAGTATCGCTAATTGTTTCGAGTGCTGACGAGAAGCGCTTTCTCTTTCAAGTCTTGAATAACATCGCTCGCTCATTATCACGAGTAAAACCTAATTGATGTCGGCGAGTCGACAAAAAAGAGATTCTCGTTACATCCGTAAAGATCATTTATATGTTAAACGTGAAAGCGAACCGCGTTGTAACTGCGACATTGAATAAACGCGTCGAGGATCATGAAGGCGATTGACACCGTCGACGATATCGTGGAGCGGAAGTAAAATAAAAACGCGGAATGACAATCGGACTTTCAAGTGATAAAATCGCGAATGATTTATTACATGTAATTGCGACGTGTCCCGCACGTAGAATTGGCGAATTCGTAGGAAATCGATCGACGAATGAAAGACAAGGCCATAATCGCCGTGACGTCTGCTACCTGCGAGGATAGTTCCGTCACGCAGGAATTTCAATAGTCGAATTTCTGCCGTCGCTCGTGATACGCTTATTTTACCGAAACTGCCGATTTTACCGGAAATCTCGTTACTCTGTGATACTGTGGTCCGTAACGGAGGAGAGAAATTTGAAAATCGCCAAAGCACTCGATGAATATCAATTGAACAAACCAAGTATTCTCTATATTGATATATTTTATCGCGATTTTCATCGCGTTGAATACAATGTAATTATCTGATTCTGCATTTTAATTTTTCCAATATTAAAGTAACAACGAATAAAATATATACAAATGATGGAAGTTATAATTGAAACCCAAAACGAAGAGAACATTCTTTTCCACGATAGTCCCAATTATTTTACATAAATTAGTAATACTTAGTTTGCACTTAGTTATCATTCCGTATGTGCATCCGAGTAACTCACCGTCACTGAGATGAATAAACTTGCAGGCAGGACGGTTGCACACTTGTCGATTAAAATCTTGGCACACCGGGAGGGTGTCCAGTAACTGAAAGAAAATGTGCCAGATACTCTTATAGCGGATGAGACCGGCGAATAATGTATGATTTGCAAAAATGATATCGCAGACATACACGTATGCACTCTCACAAAAGTTCGCTCACGTAAACTCATACAAACACGCGCGCAATCACACATTATATTCTCTCAGGATTGCTCGAAAATACCAGTACCCAATAATTTAATTTATTTCACTTCTCTATGAAAATAGATTTAGAGATTGGTATATTCTAAGAATATTATATTATATACATATTTTATACTCGTTACTTTATTTTTACTTTATACCAATATAAACTATCAAAAATGAATTATGTCTGGAAAAACTGGATTAAATTCTTTCTTCATGTAAGAAAATGTTACATGAATACACAAAAATATGTTCTTTATGGAGAACCAAATTGCGTGTATTAATTAAAAGTATCGGGGATGTGTTTTGGTACTTTTCTAAGCATTCCTATTCTCCGAACTCTTTCGGACAATCATACACTCCAGATTCTCCAGTGTTAGAGCATATTCACGGTTCATTACATGCTCTAAAAAATTGATTCATATATGGATATTAAATAATTACTACTAATATGCGAATAATCAGCGTAGTTGAATCGATATTCGAGATGTAAAACTCGAAGATAAAGTGTGATATTTTGAGTGACACTTTATTCGTGTCCTAATCATATGCATAAGAAGGAATAAACGATGGCAATCGCCGAGTATTCGCACGTACGAATTAAGTGGTAAATTTGCAGTAGAACTTTCGTTTTCAAACAGGACATTTCCTATTATAATATGTATATATTGTAGTGTAAAAATAAATTAACTAAACTGATTGATGCAAGAGAAACTTGCGTCATATAGTGTTAATTCTATCGAATGGATATATTTAGTCTGTTGGAATTTGCAAAACTGGCTTTTGACTGAGCGAGAATTGAGGGAATCCCTATTACTTTTATAATGCGAGCCGCTTGTATGTGTGATACTTTCGTTATGCTAATCTCCGTGACATTTCGGACATAATGTGTGCAAGGAGCGCGCCTAAAAATAAGGATTTTTGATTCGCAAATTTTATCGAAAATCCGAGAAGAATGAAATCTATGTGAAGTTTACGATCTGACTAAAATATTCAGCGTAGTAATTGTCACATTCAAATATTAATTTAGGCCTCGATACAGTTACTGTTTCATCCTAAATTACTCTGTAACGTATCCTATGCTGTTTTGAATATTGTACAGAATTTGCGAATCAGGTTTGTGGAAGCCCTCTTCTCGGCGGGCCATTCAGCACAATGACTAGACTGAAATTTTAGTATTAACAAAATATCGGAGAGCAACGGAAAGATCTGTAGCAGAAGCACAGATTTCGAAACTCTTTGCTTCGCTCCCTTCTTTCTTCTCTCCATCGCTCTCATTCACGATCGAAAACGATGCTAGACGTCGACTTAATGTAAACTCGATTTGCGAGATAGCAGCGATTTAATTACACGTAAATGTGTGTATGTATATATATAATATGTAAGCATATCTACGTAATTTCTCTCTTGCGTATATTTCATTTATATGAAACGCACCGAATATATCAGTAAAGGCAAAAATGTTCCGTGTCGGA